ATCTTCCCCGGCTGGATAAAATTCCTATATTCTATCATATTTTTCTTAATTTCTCCAAAAGTACACCGGTCCTGAACTGAGACTTAGACCCGGTTCAGACGTTGATCTTTTCATGAGCCGAACTAAATTCCTTGAATTAAGTAAATGAAAAGATCGGCGTCTGAATCAATTTGGAACGGCTGTTTCAATTTGGAACGGCTCACCCGTTCTTCTCGCCTGGCTCAATCGAGAATTTCGCCTTTGGAACGCCTTTGGAACGGCTTTGATTCAGACGCCGTACTTTTTATAAGCCGATCCTAATGCATAAATTATTATAATGTATTTGCAGGCCGTTTGACTGCTTTTACTTGAATTGTATTTGAAACGCCCATAAAGAACGGCGTCTGAATCAACAGGCGTACTTTTGTTAATTTGGGTCGACTCAAGTTTAAATTGAGTTCGGCTCACGAAAAGTTCGGCGTCTGAACTGGGCCTTACCTCCAACTTAGTACTAATGTTCTACTTGCTAAATCTGCAAATTATCTTCAGGCCGGTCGCTAATTTTTGTAAGCACAGTTCACGAACTGACCTCAAGAATCGATTGTTGAATAATTAACTTGGAGTAAGTTAATCATCGATCACTTTCACTCTCCTTTTCCTCTCCACTCAAAAATGTGTCTATTTTAACATATGAAACTGCTCGCCGCTAACTATTTTCCAGAACTCGAGTAATTGACTTCTATTTGAAAAGGTCTTTCCTCTGAAACAACTTGAACATGAAAAGAGATTTTGTTAACAGTGTCCTGTTGTCTGATGATCTGATTGGAATATTTTTCTCTCGACAAAAGATCATGCTTGATTAGGAAAAGCTGTTCCTTGAATTTACACAAAAATTCCTCTACTCGTAGGAATGGTTAAAATCATCCTGGTGGTAGAACTACCTATTCGATAACTCTTTGTTTTTGAGTACGTTTCGTGTTCGTTTTAAGTGCTTCTGTGGCCTTGTGTTACAAATATTCAACTTTACTTTTCATACTGAAATAGTTTGTAATTCTTTTTTTACCATTTTGCTTATTAGTTTCCAATTGTAGATACCAATACAGTTCAAGCGCCCTTTTGTCCTCATTGGTTAACAAGCCAAGCTAAGGACCAGTGAAACTGTCTCACACAGGAAAGTATAGTTCTGGTCGCTACTCCATATACAGTTGTTCTAGCTATGGACCCATATTTGGTGTAGGACACGATCTTCACATTGTCAACTACGCCTCATCCAACACAAATTCTAACTCAAGCCTTGGATAAACCTACAGTCCAACATCTGTCTACAGTTTTTGCAGTCCCTTCACCCAATTATTCTTGGCAAGAAGTCACTCTTTTCGACCTGATGAAATTGAAGTGTTTTATGAAACTACTCAAAACAAACGAACTGGAGTAACGGTGATATTCTAAATTCCTATTAACTGACAATCGAGGCAGACGTTTCTGTCTGGGCTAAGACTTCAAAGATAAAGCTTGGACAGATATTTATGTAACAGCACTATACTATCCAAATTATACGAAAATTATTGATCAAAGTGATACTATGGCTAATTTGCGGATAAACCGTGCAGAATATCATTGGATTATTAGGTGATCGTACCAAAAATGAATATTCCATTGATTACAAAAACGAAATGAAGCCGTTTTTACCACAAACTCCTTCCCCAATTTAACGATCGATGCGCCATCTTTAACTAGATGCATACCCTCCCCAGACTCCTATGGCCGTGCTAACATCACCAAATTTGCATAGCGAGAACCCCACATTACTCGTCCCATGATTCGCATGCCACCGAGTAAATGAGGCTTTAAGTTTGCGTGTACTCTGTTATTAAAATCTAATGAAGTTGCATAGTCGAGTAATGAGTAAAGATTAGTTTATTGAAGTTTTGGTTTTAATGTTTGATGGTTTTGTTCAATGCAAGACAAAGTCGACTGTTGATATTAACTTGGCTCAATGTCCGTGACAGTTGGATAAATATTTAACAATTACTAACCTCCAGGTGCAAGACACAGTTTATAACCGTAGGAAACAATTAAATTAAACGGAAATATGTCACCTTGTAAAGCCTGATAATAAGGTTGTGAGATAGTTTTTTTCCACAGGCAAGAACGGTAAACTCCAACTGGAATCGTTAATTTGGGCAACTTCTCAAAAAGTGTTCTAAGCTTATGCCAACATCGGAGTAGGAACAAAAGGTAGTTTGCTGGTCTCTAAGAAAACTGTTTCGTAGACATGGACAGGCAAGTGAAAAATGTAGCTCATTATCCAATAGAAGTTCATAAATGTACCTAAGACGCCATAGCGAATTTTGAAAAACTGACGTTTCAAAGGTCGACAGGTTGCTGAATCAAAGAGACGCGGAACTATTACTCGAAACATTGGCTTTTAAAACTCAGGGCATTCACCTTCCACCGTGTTACGTTCGTAATCACTCCAGTTTAATAGGAACAAAGGATGTGTTATCCGTCTGGTACAACTTTCAACTGACTCCAGACCATGAAAAATAAACGCGCAACCGAAGAAAAAAAATATCGACCAGGCAGAAATTACTTCCATCGCGACCAATTTATATCAGTAACAAACAAACTAAAAAAAAACGACTTGATAAGTGCATTTATCGGGTTCAAAGGCTTAGACAAATTCTCCTTTTCTAGTCGAAAGAAAATTGAGTTGGGCTGAACATTTTGCTCAACTCCCAAGTGTATTGCTCGCTCGGTCTCGCTGGACAAAACCCGACACATCATAAAGGTACAACTAACAAATTATTCGAAAAAAAACCATAGACATTTGCCCAGTTCGTTTCCTTTTTCTTTCTCTCTTTTGAACTCTTACTAATAAGCCTTCACATATTCACAGACGCACATAACCCAAAGAAATCATTTATTGCTGAAGGTCTCTATCGACAAAGAGGATTAATAACTTGATTAATTTGCGTTACGCTTACAGTTGGGTTCCTAAGCTTCCTCTTTAGTAGAAGAAGGGAAGTTATATATCTATCAGATTTCCGAGAAATTACTTCAGACAATCATAAGTCTAACATGGTCTTAAGTAAGTTCTTTTAATTCAAAAATTTACTTTCAAGGTAAACTCGTTTGTAAATATCGAAAGAACTAATTAAGGTAATGTATGGAGGTAACAGAAAGCGGTAATTAACACTCATTTCCTTAGTTCTTCCAGAGGAGAGTCCGCTTTATCTGAAACAAGTAAAAATAATCAACACAGTTCTGGTAAAATATTAAAAAATGACAGGGTATCTGTAAATAAACAATAACCTCTATCAGGGGCTCCTGCCAACCTCGTACCCACGGTCTCTTATCTCCTCGAACCCCCTTCCCTCTCTACCCCCCTGTAGCGAGAGATGAGAGACCCTGGGAACGAGGTTGACGCTCTTGCGTCTTCTTGGCTTCAAATATGCTGGCTATTTGACAACACGTTAATATCTCCTTCTGTTCATCTGAAATAATTGAGAGAATATTTTAAGTTTTGTGTTCTGAATGCATCTCTGTTACCATACGCTACGCTGTTGTAGTGTTCAGGCCTCCAAGTCCACGCCCAAGGCCCCAGGAGACGTTTACTCGAGTATTTATTATGCACGGTAAAGTGAGAACGGGGTGTGATGCAATCTAAGATAACGAACAACTAAAGGAGTTGTAAGTTAACTGTAAGCGAACTGTATAAGCGAACTCCAGAACGTTACATTGGCGACGAGGATCATCTCATAGGCGTTCGATCGAATTGTTTCGATCGAGAAATCTCTGCGAATGGCTGCATATGATACAAATCTCAACTTCGGACCGTTTGACCCGGACCTAGATCCGACATCGGTCGGCACTCGATTCAGGAAATATCTCGAAAGATTCAAAGTATACGCTGCAGCGACGAATATAAAGGACAAAGCGAGAAAACGAGCACTACTCCTACACTGTGCTGGTCCCAAAGTACAGGACATCTT